CCCCCCCCCCCCCCCCCCCCCCCCCCATTTCTTTAAAATTAATTTGGCTTTGGTTCTCTCTGAGTCCTATAACAAACAAAGCACATTTGATGTTTGTCTTTTTAGGCCGTACCATTACTGGCCCTCCAAGTTCTGGGTAATCACACATCCCGCTACGGATACACATCTCACATACCTCCATCCTGGTCTTCTCAAGTTTCTCCAATTCCTCCAAAGCAGCTTCTGGATTTGTCGTTCGGAGTTCCTCAAACTCTTTTATGGCCTCCTTTTGCTTGCCCCTCTTCAGCACCTTGTGATACCTTCAGACATCAAGAAACAAAATGTCAATAGTTATTAGGTTGAGCACCAATGCCAACTTCTTCCCCACGAAACCTCAGTGGTCCTCCTACTGACCTCTTCCCCATCAACCCTACGTCCTTCTCCTGAGCACTTCCCTATGAACCCTCCGTCCTTCTCCTGACCACTTCCCCATCAACCCTCCGTCCTTCTCCTGACCACTTCCCCATCAACCCTCCGTCCTTCTCCTGACCACTTCCCTATCAACCCTCCGTCCTTCTCCTGACCACTTCCTTATCAACCCTCCGTCTTTCTCCTGACCACTTCCCTATCAACCCTCTGTCTTTCTCCTGACCACTTCCCTATCAACCCTCCGTCTTTCTCCTGACCACTTCCCTATCAACCCTCCGTCCTTTCCCTGACCACTTGCCTATCAACCCTCCATCCTTCTCCTGGCCACTTCCCTATGAACCCTCCGTCTTTCTCCTGACCACTTCCCTATCAACCCTCCGTCCTTTCCCTGACCACTTGCCTATCAACCCTCCATCCTTCTCCTGGCCACTTCCCTATGAACCCTCCGTCTTTCTCCTGACCACTTCCCTATCAACCCTCCGTCTTTCTCCTGACCACTTCCCTATCAACCCACCGTCCTTTCCCCGACCATTCCTGGCCACTTCCCTATCAACCCACCGTCCTTTCCCTGACCATTCCTGGCCACTTCCCTATCAACCCTCCGTCCTTCTCCTGACCACTTCCCTATCAACCCTCCGTCTTTCTCCTGACCACTTCCCTATCAACCCTCCGTCTTTCTCCTGACCACTTCCCTATCAACCCTCTGTCCTTCTGAGTTCTTTGCCATCAAGCCTCCATCCTTCTCCTAACCCTTTTCCAATCAACCCTCTATTCACCTCCTGACCTCTTTCCCCAGCAACCCTCCATCTATCTTCTGACCTCTTCCTTATCAACCCTCCATCCTTCTCCCAAGCTCCTCTCCATCAACCCCCCCGAGCTCCTCTCCATCAAC